AGGAGGAGGAGGAGGAGGAGGAGGAGGAGGGGAGTTTCCCGCCAAGGCCAACTGTCCGGCATACCAACCTGATGATGATTTTTGAAGATGTCTCCCACATGACAGCTGTGGAGATATACGATTGGACTATGGGCTGGGGTTACCAAGGGGGAGGGGGGAAGGGTCATGTATTGATATCTAATGCTTTCGCGCGCTTTTGCTCAGATCCTGCTTTGCTTAGCTTCTATTTACTTATAATCAGTAAAAGTACTCTTAATTCTGCAAAATGGAGTTGAGTGGTTTCTTTCTTGGTTAATAAGTGAAGCAGCATCTGACATTGGGACATAAGCCAGGCAATTATTGTCATTTGTAAAGCGGACGTAGGTGTGTGGGGGGGGATTGAGAGAGGGAGAGGGAGGGAGGGAGGAAGAGAGAAAGATTGAAGGAGAGATTGAGAGAGGGAGAAAGATATTGAGAGAGGGAGGGAGAGATTGAGAGAGATATACAGAGAGAGAGAGGGAGGGAGGGAGAGAGAGTGGGAGAGAGGGGGGGAGAGAAGGAGACTTTGTTGCTTTATCTCCAGCACAACTACTAATTACAGACAATCTTTGACTTACAACCATAATTGAGCCCTGAATTTCCATTGTTAGGCAAGACGGTTGTTAAATGAGTTTTGCCCCATTTTATGACTTTTCTTGCCACAGTCTTTAAGCGAATAATTGCAGTTTTTGTTAGTAACAAAGTTGTTACGTGAATCTGGCTTCCCCAATGACTTCGCTTGTCAGGTGTCTGCAAAAGGTGGACATTGTAACCCTCATCAATAAATACCAGTTGCCACGCATCCGACTTTTATCCCTTGACCATGGGAATGCTGCAACAGTTGTGTGAAAAATAGTCACTTCTTTTCAGGGCCATTGTCACTCCAAACAGTCATTAAACTTGGCTGTAAACCAAGGACTACGCCTACAAGGCTTGACCAAGGAGAAAATGGAGTTATAGTACCAGAGTAAGATTAGATTAAATGCCTTCTAGCTAGAAGTCCCTTGTGGTTTCCCAAGGACAGGAATGGTTTGTAAGTGTTCTGACTTAGGCTTCCCCAAAAAGCAGGAGGCAGATTCCTGGTCCCCACAAAACCCCTTTTTATTTAAACAAATGTGCATTCCTCTCATTCACCTTCAGCAAAGGCCTGGCAAACAGTCTTTCAAAGGCGAAGTTATGACCACAGACTTTATCTAGCTTGGAAAGCTGCCATGTAAATATTTTCCAAACTCAGTGCTGTGCAAGGAAAGACTGGGCACAGAATCTCTGAGATTCATGGACAGATCTTCACACTCCTGAAACGAATGAACACACAAACAAACAGTTTCCTGCAAAAGCCCATTCCCCTTTCGCTCCTCTTTTATTTCCTATGGGAGGGGCCATTCACCTTCCCCCTGTGACTTTATTCCCAAGTTGACCCTGATTTCTGAGTTGTTCTTTTCTTCTGGCAGCTCTGCGCATGNCATCCACAATTTCTGGAGGCAAGTTGTTTCACTGATTGTTCTCACTGTCAGGAAATTTCTCCTTAGTTCTAGGTTGCTTCTCTCCTTGATTAGTTCCCATCCATTGCTTCTTGTCCTGCTTTCGGGTGCTTTGGAGAATAATTTGACCCCCTCTTCTTTGTGGCAGTCCCTGAGATACTGGGACACTGCTATTATGTCACCCCTAGTCCTTTTTTTTTATTATTCAGAGGTGGCAAAACCTTGCCTTCACCTAACCCAACCCAGCTTCTGATTGGGCAGAATGATTGGTGATTGTTTCCCTGCCTGTGGGTGGCAAAAGAAGCAAAACTGGGGAAAATCCACCCCGTCTCTTCTTAAACTTCTTTAACGGCCCCACTTAAACTGTTGTGACTGTTGTTTTGTTTTAATTTGCTTGTCTTGTGTTCTGTTTGTATTCCCCTTCCCTCTGGTTTGTTAGCCGCCTTGACTCCCTCGGGAATAGGGCGGCATACAAGTTGAATAAACATTCCAACATTCCAAACTTTAATGTGCCACCATAGAGAACACTTAATGGTGAATAGTTAGGATGCAGTATTGCAGGCTAATTCTGCCCACTGCCAGGAGTTCGATCCTGACCGGCTCAAGGTTGACTCAGTCTTCCATCCTTCTGAGGTTGGTAAAATGAAGATCCAGATTGCTGGAGGCAATATGCTGACTCTATAAACTGCTTAGCACCATGAAATAATATATAAGTCTAAGTATAGTTATTGCTATAGCTATTGATATTAACTTGCAGGCGATAGCTAAGCCTTGTTATTGTTGTAGAAGAGGGGACACCAGTGAACACAGCACAATTTGTGTCAGTGCTGTCTTAGGCCTCCTGAAGGGCTGCTGCAGAGCCCTTGGATACAGCTGGCTGAACTCCCTTTCCAGCAGTCTCCCCTGGCTGTTATTCTGACTGTCAGCCTGAGAGGTTTCATGATTAAGCGCATCAGAGATATCCAGATACAACTTGGAAAGCTTCAGGGTGTCAGCCTCTGTTTGCTGCTTGCTTTTCAGCTGCCATTGAAACGGGGAGGGAGGGCATGGTATTTGGGTGNGTGCTTTCGAACTGCTAGGTTGGCAGAAGCTGGGACAAGTAATGGGAGCTCACTCCGTTACGTGGTGCTAGGGATTCGAACCACTGACCTTTCTAATCGACAAGCTCAGCGTCTTAGCCACTGCATCCCTCACTTCCAAAGTAAACTATATCACTGATTGATTGTTCTACCTGTCAGGAAATTTCTCTTTATCTCTAGGTTGCTTCTCTCCTTGATCAATTTCCATTCATTGTTTCTTGTCCTGCCTTCAGGTGCTTTGGAAAACAGGCTGGCACCCTCTTCTTTCTGGCGGACCCTCAAATATGGGAACACTGCTATCCTTTTCACTAGACTAGCCATATCCAATTCCTGCAAGTCTCCACATGTTTTAGCCTCCAGACCCTTAATCTTCTTTGTTGCTCTATTGTTTAGTGCAAAAGGATTCCGGCAAAGAGGAACACAGAAGGTTCTGTTTGCACAGGTTTTGGGGGTGATTCTGTTATTGTTTTACCTCCTGTAATGCATCGCCGAGCCATTTCCCAAATGATCAAGCCGAAGCTGTAGATGTCGGCCATGATGTATGGCTGGAAATGATTCTTATTCAAAGTTTCATCCAGAACTTCAGGGGCCATATATCGTTTAGTGCCCACCCTTGTATTTATAGGGACATCGACTTCATTTGTATCACTAAAAGAAGGCAAAAGATATGAAAGAAGGTGACACGGGACGGAAGACGATGCAATTATGGTAATTACCATACAGAACATTTACGACGGTAATGTTTTCATGGAAACGCACCAAGATTAAACTAATATACCAATGAAGAACATTTTCAACTGCCTGTTTCTAAGACCGAAATTATGCTAATACAGTTACTTCTTGAGCATTAATGGAAGAGTATTACTGAAGATTCAGCACTGAAAGGATTTCTTCATGTTAATGGAAATATTTGAAGCTGCCGAGGAAGAGCAGAATCAATATGGAAATATGCCTTTTGATTTGAAGCCAGAGGTATTTTTAAATAGCTTGTGTTTTCAGAACGTCAGTCTAGATACCTTTTAACATTCATGTTGTCTTGATTATTCTTTTCATGTTCGTTTTACGAAGAAAACACTGAATTGCCTTTCATTATCTTTAAATGCTGAGTCTGTCTTTCTGATTCAAATCATCCATGGGAAGGAACAATGCTGTTTAGGTCCCGTGGGCAAGCAACCCATGGTATGACTCGTACCCTTGGCTCGAGATGTATGAGACTTAATGTTACCTGATGGGGGACTCTATTGCACTGGTCAAGACGATGTAATAGTAACAGTGCAATGATGATCTAGATCAGTGATGACAAACCTTTTAGGACCGAGTGCCCAAACTTCAAGGCGCGCGCATGCGCAGCAGAGACCCGAAGACCAGTTGGATGGTGGGAGGCGGGGCATCCCAACACCAGTAGCTCTGCCACAAGTGACATCTTTTTCCATCGTGAGTTTTTGTTTCGTCGTTTGTAAGGAAACAGAAGCTCATGAAAGAAACGCCACAGAGAGCTGAGCTGGGGCAACGGTGTGCATGCCCACAGAGAGACCTCTGTGTGCCACTTGTGGCATGTGGGCCATAGGTTCGCCATCACAGATATACGGTAGATGATCTAACGATACAACAGAGTTAGAAGGAAAGTTGGGAGGTCTTCTAGTCCAACCCCCTGCTCAAACAGGTAAGCCTATACCTGTGATGGCGAATCTATGGTACGTGTGCCAGAAATGGCACACAGAGCCATCTCTCCGGGCATGCGAGTCATTGCCCATTGCTCTTCTGGGTTCTGGTGCGTCAGCCAGCTGCTCTTCACACACATGGGAGTGCCGGAAACTGGAAGAGCAGCTGCCCAATGTGCATGCGCACATCGGGAAGATGATCTTCTGGTTTCTGATGTGCGCATGGGCGTCACGCATGCATATGCAACAGAAACCAGGAGACTGGGTGGCTGGGCGGCTGTTCTTCTGGTTTCTGACCCATGTGCGCACGAGCGCTCCCAGTTCGGCACTTGGTGCCGAAAAGATTTGCCAACACTGCCCTATACGATTCTGGACAACCAGTTGTCCAACCTCTTCTTAAAAACCTCCAGTGATGGAGCAATTACAACTTCTGAAGGCAAACTATTCTCCCGATTAATTGTTCTCTCTGTCATAAAATTTCTCTTTAGTTCTAGGTTGGATCTGTCTTTAATGATCTTCCACTCATTACTTCTTGTCCTGCCCTCAGATGCCCTCGGAGAATAGGTTGACATCCCCCCCCCCCCCGCTGTCTGTGGCAGTCCCTCAAATATTAGAAGACTGCTATCAAATCACCCCTAGTCCTTCTCTTCTGT